TCTCTCTCGTAATGAATGGTTCCAGTTTAGGAAAGAACAGGACTCCCAAACCTCGCAGCCATACGAAGCAATGAGTGTACATAAGATACCTGTTCTCAGTAGTGGTATGTCTGAAATGGCTTATTATTTACCGACTTTTTTGTGTGAAATGCAAAAAAGCATTGCATTTAAGTCAAGGATAGGAATGCGTTTGTGTTGTGTTTGAATTGAGAACTCATATGAAAATAAGATGTGAAAAATATCTGTGCTTTTAAGACAAACTTGTGATTGAAATACAATTATTTATAATTTTCATTCTTTCACTTTCTTCTCTCCTATTTTTTATATTCATTTGTAATTTATTTGTTTTAGTGATTGAAGAAAAAGGAAATAAATTTTACACCTCTCTTATTGTTTAAAAATTGTTTTTCATTTTCTACAATTATTTTTAATAATAATAATAATAATAATAAATGCATAAAATTTATTCATATCTTACTATATGTAAGAAATAATAAAAATATTGCGAAAAACTTCAAAACAAACATTATGTTTGAGAAGAGACTTGAAGTTTATCATTGATTTTCAGTGTTTAGTCTTTGTTTAACACTCATTGACTACTTTTCTACAGTACTAAAGTTATGTCAAGTCTTTTGTTTTATATATTTTAATGAATAATAACTTTGAAAATTGTTTACACAATTGTTCTCATGATTATAATGTCTTATACAACATATTTATTTAATATCATAGAAATAATACATTTTCACTTAAATTTACATAACTTTCATATTAAATAAAATTGTTAAAAGCATTTTAATATAACTTCAATTTAATAGTGATTTTAATAATAGCATTAAAAGACAATATATTTATTTTATTGTAATAATGGAAATGTGTGCGAATGAATTGTTATAATGCCATAAGAGGCTCATAAATATACTGTAAATGCAAAACTCTTCATATTCAATATGCAATTCGTTTGCGTTTAAAATAATTACATAAAACACTCGAAAGTAATTCATGAAATTTTATTCATTGTCTCATTAAATGCCAATAAGATTTGCTATTTCAACGATTGGGTCTAAATTTGCAAAATGAGTGTTATTTCAGTGAATAACGTGACGTTTCGCTATAAAACAAACCGTGTTTTGGCTAATATTTATGCGCGAATACCTGAAAACAAGATCTACGGTTTGTTGGGGCCGAGTGGGGCCGGGAAGACAACCTTGCTCAAATTGATTCTGGGTCGGATACATTTGCAAAGTGGCTCAATCACTGTATTGGGCACTCAATGTGGCCGTAATAATAGGCTCATCGGTTATATGCCTCAGGATTGTGCTCTATGTCTTCAATTGACTGTAAAGCAAACACTTTTATATTTTGCTAATTTATACCACATTTCAACGAATAAATTCAAAGACAGGTAAGACGTTAACCAATATTTTGAACAAATCTTTTAATTTAATATTTATAACATCTAATTATTTGCTACTTATTGAGTTAATCCTCTCATATTAGCGAAAATCATTGTATTAGGCTATTTTCTATAAAATATTAGTATAACTCTATGAAACATTAAATACACATCTTAAATCTAATTACAAATTTCATTCTAAATAAGATTATAAACTGCTCTTTTGCTCATTAAATATTGGCAACTAAAAAACATATTGTTAATATTAATTAATAAATTATTTTAATTGTAATATCTAAGGACCCTAAGATAATTATAAATATTTTTAAAAATTAGCAAATTTATATTACCAAGTAGTCAGCACAAAGTTTATATGATTAATAAATATTAAATATTCTATGATATTTTCTCAATTTGCTAATTTGTATGTTAATTACCATTGCTATTGGTAGATAATAAGGTATATAGTAGAAAGACTAAACTCAATAAATATATTATCAAACAATTCAATCATATATTTTCTATTAAAAAAAGACATTCAACTGACTTTAAAAATACTTTTATATTTAGAATTTGTAAAAGAAATGTACATAAAAGCGTTTAAATTCTTGAAAATTCTTACTTTTTCAATTATCAGTTTTCAATATGTTGTTAATATAATTCTGTAATTAATTATTAAGTAAAACAGTATAATATAATATCCTATATGCAGTGCAACCTCTCTATAAGAAACGAGCAGATGTAATTTAAAAATTAATTTTTATAAATAGGGATTATTAATTAATTAATAATTTCCGTAAATGAGATTACATTTACATTAACGTTATATTGTTAAGTGTAGGAACTCATTCCTAAACTTGGTTTCAAATGGTTTGCTAAAAAATCCAATATGGGTTTCTTATACAGTATATAGCGTTGCCAGATATACAGGAATGGCCTGTATTATACAGGAATTAAGGAATATTGCAGAGTACAGGAAAGTGTCATTCCTGTACATTGAAAAATACAGGAATAAATATTTTAGCAATAAACAATGAAAATACTAAAATATTCAAATTTGTTAATAAGTTTAGTTTTGTATACCCACTGTTCATCCACAATCTGAACTAATGTTAGAAATTAAATGAATTTAAACTTAATTAATTCAATTCTAAAGACATTGTATAAACACACGAATTTTCGCAAAAATATTATTCATTGGAAATTGTATATAAATATGAAGTTTTGATTTACAACAATGAAATACAGGAAAATACAGGAATTTTGGTAAAATTTTCACAATTATACAGGAAATCCAAAATATTTTCTGGCAACGCTAACAGTATAGCACTTATAGAATATAATCTTGAAATCACTATTAGATCCTATTATGTTATTTTAAAAATTTACATACTGTAATACACTGCCATACGGGTGTTCGAATTCACTTTATCAAAATTTGAACATTTTAAAAAGTAACATTAAGTTTGATTATGTTATGATATAATCTAATATAAAGTATTTATATAATTTAGTATTAATAATACTGTATTATAAACAGTCAAAATATAGATTATTTTTTTCATTGATACAGGATTTTATTATATGTGAAATGCATTAAGTAGGATTTATTTTTAAAACCTATTAAAATGTATTAAAAATAGATGGTAAATTAGTAAATATAAAAAAGAATATGAAAGCACAAATGTTTCTAATGTGAATGTAATGTAATTGTGTACAGAATTATAGAATTAAATACAAAGCTAGGACTTCCAAATATGAGCAAATCTGTTGGCCAACTGTCTGGTGGGAAACAAAGACAACTGTCTCTGGCGTTAGCACTCCTACATCAGCCCAAACTGTTAATTCTTGACGAACCGACGGTGGGAACTGACCCCGAGTTGGGCGACAAGATATGGCGCTATTTGCACGTGTGTTGCGCTGAGGAAGGGATGAGTGTTTTATTGGTGACCCATTACACAGAAGAGGCACACTTTGCACATAACATTGGATTCATGAGAGACGGGCGGCTCATCGAAGAAGGGGTTCCCAAACTCTTATTAGACAAGTTTCAGGAAAACAATTTAGAGAGTGTTTTCATAAGACTTTGCAAATATCAGGAAAAGCATACAATCACTGATGGATTGGACAACTCTTTGCAGACTTACTATGAATTGGACAAAAAGAGCGCAAACAATGAAAGCTTTGAGAAACCCATGTCTGACGTGAATATATTGGGCAAATTCTCGTTATTATGGGTGCTTATGATACTAATTCATCGTAATATCAATAAATATATTCAATACAAACTCATATTTCTGATGATATTTTCTCCTGCATTTCAAACATTGCTCATGTGTTTAATATATGGAGTGAATTCAGTACCTGTAAGTTAATGGTCATAGAAATGGAATTGTATTTATAAATAAATTGTTTTATTATTTATGTTCAGATTAAAACATCTGTCTATAACGCAGACACCGAACAACTTTATAGCCAAAAACTATTAAATTCTGTCAAACAAATTGATTTGTATTATATTAAACCACAAATGTATGAATCAAGACTATTGGCAATTGACTCTGTATTAAGGGGTCGGTCGACTGGAGCCATAATAATTGGTTCAAATTTTAGTCAAGCTCTCGAGGATAGGGTTATTGATGTGGACAATGCAGAAAACGAGACCATAGAGGACAGTCAACTTCGCGTTTACATCGATAATTCAAACTATATTTACGCACAATTCCTAATCGATTCTCTCACCCAAACTGTTTGGTCACTTATATCGGATATTTTAGTGGAGAATGGGAGGGCACGAATCCCACCCCCAATTCAAATCGTTGAGACCATATACGCACCCGACTCTAAACTATCGGACTTCTTATTACCCGGTTATATGATTGCATTCATATACTTATCACAAGTGACCCTATCGTCTATTGTATTAATTCATGAACGACAGGACGGACTGTTTGATCGGGCAATAGTGGCCGGCGCCGGTCATAAGCTTATATTTGCCTCGCATTTTATTACTGGATGTCTCATGTCATTCATAAATGTCATACTAATGCTATTAATAGCGTTCATATGGTTTGATATCACTAATTATGGCTCGTATTCGTTGGTTGTGGTACTGGTTATGGCTCAAGCAATCAATGCTATATCACTTGGTATTTATAATATACATTATTATTCAATTTTTCTTAAGATAATGTAGTAGATTAAATCATATCTCCCTATCATTTATTTTATTTGTATATATAAAAACTTAATAAATGAATGTCTATTTTAGGTCTATTGATATCGTCATTATGTAAAGAGAGTTTTGTGGCATTTTTCCTGTCTTTGTTCATAAGTTTGTCACAACTGTTCACAAGTGGAGCCATTTTCCCCAATGAGTCCATTGAACCAGAAATACGCAAATTCTTATATTACAGTCCAATAGCAATGCCAACAGAATCGTTAAGAAATGTGATGCTCCGGGGCTGGACTTTCACCAACTTCTATGTCTATCACGGATTTGCTATGAATTGTATCTCTGGTTTACTCTTTACTATTATTGCTATTATTGTATTTAAACGCAACTCTTAAATAAATTTTAAATTATTTAAATTTATATCTTTTATGATATTATTTTGTATAAACTTTATTATATTTTCAAATAAAACCGTATTTTCAATACTCTATAAATTATTGTTTCTTTTAATTTCAATATTAATTGTTTTTGATAATACTATAGTAATAATTTATAATGTTTGTCATATCCATTTAGGGAAACCAGAAAATGAGTCATTTAATATGTAGACTAAACAAAATCCATGAATTAATCAGAGAATCTTAAGATATAGTATTAAACTTATGCTTTAAAATGAACAATTTGTTGTAATAGTCATTATTGTGCTCAAAACTATNATTAATCAGAGAATCTTAAGATATAGTATTAAACTTATGCTTTAAAATGAACAATTTGTTGTAATAGTCATTATTGTGCTCAAAACTATACAAAAAGCATCCAAAAAGCATCCGAACGGTTTGCCTATATCCATTATTATTTTTGTTTAACATTTAAAAAATAGTTTAATCAAAATAACTTAAATGTATCATATTAGAAAATTAAATTAGTTAAATATTATTGCTATTATTATTTAAAACTTTTTTTGAAATAAAAGGTAATGTTTTACGTAAATGTAAACTTAATTGTCCTAGTTGGATAGGTGTGATCGATACTAATTGATTGTAAAGACCATTGGAATTTAACTACAATTAAAAAATAAAATATGACTTAACTTAACTTAAAAGAACTTGGTCAAATAAAGTTAATTATTTATAAATACCAGGAAAACATTTATCTTAACTAACGATTAGATATTTAAAAATATAAAATCTTTGAACATCAAAACTCACAACACAAATGACTGTAAAAGCATTGAGATTTAATTATTAATACTATCGTATTTAAAGATCAAATAATTTTGTTTTTATATAATCTCATTGATATTTTCATTCGAGTTTTAAAAGTACTTACGAAATGACTTTGAATATAATGTAGATAAATATAAATAACATTTTCTAATAGTTTTGGGAATTTCTCAATGTTGGAAATTGTTAATTTATAATTATTATACTTCTATGTCATAGAATTTATGATATCAACGCTATTAATAATAATAAAGTGTGTATGATATATAAAACTTGATAATTTATATAAAATTAAATGTATACATTTCTATTATTTTTACAATAATAACTGTATTAATTTTAAAAATGATGTAAAGAACTCTAGATTGACCATACTTTTGAAAAAAATATTATATAACATATATTTTGAATACATATATTTTAAATGATTTTTTTATTAAATTGGACAAAAATATTGTAGTCAACAAATTATATAATGAAGAATAAATTATGAAAATTTTAGAAAATTAAGTACAATATGAGTTGATCATCGTAAATACTTAATTTAACTTACAAACTTTAGTTAATTTGACTATTTATAATTTTATTATTAATTGTATTTTTATTTTAAAATGATGTAAATTCTGACATTGTGTTGTCAATACATTAAGTTTTATTTAATAAACAGTTCTAACAATAATATATTATTGTATAATAAATTGTGGTATTATATTGTAATTCCAGGTATACAGTATATAAATAGTCAAAAACATAATATATAAACATAACATTATATAAAAATAATTAGAATCAAATGTTTTATAACATTTCATAATCTACTGTATATTTTATGGCATACTCGATTTGTTATTGATTACTTGCCTTATATAATTCTCACTTGTCAGTAAACTGCCAATAGTACTTTTAAATATAAATAAATAGTTTTATAATTTAGACACAAAATTTTGATTTAAATCGATATCATTTACAAATGCCTCTCCGTTTCCATTCACTTGTTTGCTGTCGTGATTAATATCCAGAAAGTATTTCTTAAGATAAGATTGCAACTTAAGAAAAGGCGCTTCAAATAAAAGTGAAAATATAGCGCCCAATATGTAAGATACTATTAAAACAGTTAGATATATAGATATTATTGAGAAAAGGTTTATATCCACTAAATCACGTCTAGAGCCCCAAAACATCCATACAATCCAACCATGAGTTAAATACACAGAATATGTTAATCTCGATAACGGTATGAATATCTTTGCTGATAAAAATGAGTTGACAAAACCGCCGTTTCCTGTGATACACATCCATATAATAACAGATAGATTTATACTCCAAATTAATTTTTTTAGTGGATATAATATCGACGATATAATTGTATTGTACGGCTGACCCTCAGACCAAAACATCACATCATAAAAGCATATTATATAACCGATGGTTACAAATAACCAAATGAGTAGTTTCTGTATAATGATTTGAACAAAAAAACAAATTAAATTTTTAACAAAGAATAAAATGTGGCTAATACTACATTTTTAATTGGCTTTAATTTACATTTTGGCAAAAAATAGCCAAATATAAAACCAGTGAAATAGACGGCACAGTGTGGCCATGGCTTCCAGAAGAACATTTTGAAAAAATTATTCCACTCCATGTCGTCGTACATAAAATCTCTAAAACATAATGATACATGTATGTTTACACAATTAATTTGATTTTAGTTAAAAATGGTTTTGTTACAAACCCTTTAGTAGTAAAAACATGGGCGGCAGGATAGTCATTCAAATAAATTAATATAGATGAAAACAAACTAAACCCAAATACGGTCATCAAACTAATGGTGAGTCCAATTCTTCTATTTTTAAGCAGTAATACAATTATAGGAAGAGATAACCAAAACAGTTGCATATCAGTTGCTATAAACCATGTGTGAAGAGCACACTATGTTTGAAAACATTAAATTATTAGTTATTTAGAGGTAAAATTATTATTTATTAAAAATAAAATTTATTCAAGATAAATACCATGTTTAGTTGTTTTTCATTTGGATCAATACTTAAAAATGTTTGTAAAAATAATAAGTTATGCCACCAATTGGTGCGACAGTTGTTGACAATTGAGCCGATATGTAGTGTCCATATGGGCCCCGAGCCCAACACCGGTAATAACATTGTCAATAATATAAATATAGCCATTTGTGGCAATAATCGTATTATTCGTGATATTAAAAATCCAAAAGCATTAAATTTATTGTATTTGCCATTTGTGTATTTTATTGTGATATAGGTTGTTAATAAACCACTAAATGTATAAATTAAGTCAAAAAAATTTTCATGTATAATATAAAATGTGTACATGTATAGTATTTTGATTTAATGCATTTTTAATTAAATACCTGACAAAGAAAAATGTTTCTACTGAATAATATGCCTGAAGTATTGGTTGATTTAATGGATTGTTTAACACTGTTTTCATACGAAATACTTTTTCTATTTAATAAAAATGTAATTTTAGTGCAATTCTTGATAATTCATAATTATTGGTTATAATCAGGGATCCGCATATTGAAATGTAATAGTAAATAGTCAGTACTGTATGAGTTATAAATATAGCAATTTATAGACAAATTCATATTTGATAACATTAGTCATGGTATAACTAAAGTATAACCTCACTATACAAAAGTGGCCCTACAGTGGCCCCTGCGCGGATTCATGGTTATAATTGTAATAATAATTTTATTATTTGTAATAAATTTGTTAAATTCTAGAATATAAATTTAACATTGTACTAAAAAATATATTTACGATAAAATCCTAGGAATGTCCACTCAATCGTATGACCAAATATAACCCAAAATATAGTTAACACTCGAATACCATTAATACAACCAATTTCTTGTTGAGATTTAATAGAAAATAGTTTTCGTGTGTTTTGCGTTATTGAAAAAGTTTTACAGACAATAAGTAAAATATTTCTCCCTATAAATAATGCCAATATTAACAATTGTTAGTAATTATATAAACTTTAATTAACTTAAACCCAATCAATACCTTTTGTTTGAGAAGAAATATTTAAATAAATGGCCGATGAAATCGATGTAATTAAAAATACAAACACAAATATTCTAATACACAATTAAAAATATAATTGTAATTTTTAAAATAGTTTTAGTTAGTTAAATATAGTTAGAAATATACTTTATAAACACACTTACAATGCAATTATTTGAATAAAATCCAATTTTACTTTTGATTTGTGTTCACAATTTATATCCTTTAATATTAATCCAAATTTAGATATGGCTATAATAAACATAACATTATTAGAATCATAATTATATCTAATTACTAAATAAATATGGATTTCATTTACCGGAATCAGCAATTATGCGGAGATCAGCGGACGAGCATTTATTGGGTACACAAATACCGAGTCTAATAAACATCCAGTAGAAAAATGATGCATTTTTTGAGAATTTAACAAAAACATTGCTGTCGCTAGAATTGATGGCACTATTATTAAAACTTTGTGGCAATACATTCACCATATGATAAAAACTTTGATGTCTTCCGATAGGTTTAGGAACTGGTAGTGATATATCGATGAGACAATATTGTGACGATTCGATCACATCATTTGGAGGTATATTTAAACACTGGTCATAATCACCAAAGTTAGTGAGAGTTCCGCTAAGAAACCCCGTCGGAGGGAATTGTGGCCAAGAATTCAACATTTTATAAATCCAATCCTCGTTATTGTCGAAAGCATTTAAACTTCTTTTTACACTTTCTTTACATTGTTTCGAGACATTCAAAGTTGAGGTATTATTAAATAAATATTTTATATTATCATTTAAGTAATTGTGTTTATTTTGATCAATTGATATAATTAATTGTTCCCAATTATTAAATGCATAAATAGACACAATATTTAATAATAAAAATATAATCACTATTAGGTTTGTCATGATTGATAAATGTGTTGTAGACAAATGTGGTAATGTTATCCAATGATCACTATTTATATTGAGAATATTCTGAACAGTCTTTATTTCATTTGTTCGATTAAAGCCTTGGATAAAAATAACAAGAATTAAACATATTTATCCATACATTCAAATACTTAAGAACATTTGTTTATGTTTTAGGAGTAAATAAATTCAGTTGCTTATTGTCAACACTCATTCAGGTGCTAACAAAGTACTAAACAATAATATCATAACATTTTAAGACTTTTCTTTTAGGATATAGGCGTCAATAAGTCATTGTCTATAACAACAATACGTCAAAAATAAAATAAATAATAATTCAGTATTTTATTGTATTGTCGAAATATGTAGTATAATAGATAAAATTATAACTAAATTGTATTTAATTATGAAATTTTCATATCAATTGAAAAGAAAGTTTTCGAATATCTTTATTATTTCCTTTAAGATTCTCAGTATATTGAAAACTATAGATATTTACTATTTTATAATTTATACAAAACATTAAATAAAGTTATATAATTGCAAACTTGTATTCGAAGAAATATTGCACTTATATTAGTGAAAAATGCAAAAAGCTATATATTTAAGAATAACTGACGCAAAAATAAGCAAATATTTATTTTAAAAACTATGAAAGCTATCAACGATGCGTTTGTATACATTATAAATAATAAAGTTTCATTAACTTTCTAAATATAGTATTATCTTAAATTCTTAGTTTAGTTCTTAATTGTTTATTGTTATATTAACAATATTGTCATGTTATACAACATATGAAAATAAATGTTTACTGCGATCTAGAATTAAAAAAGGTGTAATTTGTGATAATAAAGATTATGCTTAGTTAATATAAACTTAATATAAACTAATTTACTAACCATTATTCCATTTAAGAATGCTTTTATATCCAAGAATGATAACAATATTTTAAAATTTACAATAACACAAAGTAATATAATAATTATAATATGTTATATTTATATCACCAAAAAATCTTGCAACAAATTTATGAAATACAAAATTTTAAAAAGTATTTTTTAAATAAGAAGGATTTTTGTAAAATTTATGGATAACTTTAAAACCGATAGAAATGATGATTAAACTTAACTTGTATGGTACTTATATAGTAACGTGTGGTTAGATTTTCATTCCTTTATAATATTAAAAATTAATAATCATCAGAATTTGTCAAATTTAAAAAATTAATTATTTATATATATTTATTTAATCAACAAATTGATTGATATTTGAAATGCACTATCCGTTAAGAAAAGTACCAAAATTTTAGATAAAAAATAATTTTAAATTTGTTTTTAAAATTTCAACAAATATAGTAATAATTTTTTATTTAATTTCTCTAAACAAATATTTGCCTTTTTGTAAGATTTTTGTCCAAAAGTGATTGTTATAATTTGAAAACAAATATCATGTTTACAATTAAAACAATGTCATTAGTTTTTTACTAATTTGGATACGTACTTTACTACCTTGGTCATTGTTAGCTTTTATCCAACCTTGACAGAAACACATTAATGCACTTTCTTTTCAGTCTAACTATATATTTAGTAATATTTGTATTAATGGTTAGAATAAATATAAAGTGACAATTTTAAGGTTAGACATAATTTTATTGGTTTTTATTGCAAAAAGTTGTGAAATATAAGTAGGGGTTGGGTTGAGGGACCCACGGGTAGCAACAAGCAGGTAACATATTTCCAGTTTTTATTAAAAGAACAAATCAATTACTAATATATTATATTTTTAATTGATTTATTTTACATGAATCTTGATGTAATTGTTATTTATACGAATTTACAAATAATTTGTGCATATAATTTATGTTTTAAATATGTCCTTAATACTATATTTATATAAAAGATGTATAAATATTAATAAAAATTGTAAGTATACAGTATATTTAGTGAATATTATAACAAAATAAAATATTTACAATAAAAATATTGAGCAATCATTTAGGCGTTTATGAAAAATTTATATTATTTAAAAATCTTAAATAGATTTTAAAATATAAAACAGATAAAAATGGATCAAATGTTTAGTATAACTGTACAGTATATAACTTGTATAAATGAATATAGTTTGTAATCATAATTTATACAAATATAAATATCATACATTAACATCCATTTCGTGAGAATCGTTATTATTATTTGAGGCGTTAAGCGATTGTCTATAAAATGACTCAAATTTAGACGAATTATTATTTGTTTTATTTAAGAAAGTAGTTTTGATTTTATCACTCGAATACTCTTTTAGATACCCCTGAAGTGCAAAGAATGGCGCCTCGAATAGCATTGAGAACACAATACTCATACAAAATGATATGAGAATAACACTCGATGTAAGCGAAAGAATGGTAAAGTTCTTCATATCAATGAGATCTCGTTTGGATCCCCAATAGATCCATACAATCCACGCGTGGGTTAGATATACGGAGTAAGTTAGACGTGATAAAGGGATGAAAGCCTTGTATGACAAAAAACGATTGATAAAAGTGGCGTTTCCTGTGATACACATCCATATGATTGCAGTCAGGTTTAGGGCCCACAACACCTTCTTTAAGGGGTACAGTAAGGCAGACATGGCTGGTGTGAATGTCTGTCCATATGTTTGGCCATAAGCCCAAAACATACTGTCGTAAAGTATGAAGATATAACTGACCAGAATTGACGCCCAGATTAAACATTTGTTAAACTATTTGTATAAAACAAATTAATTTTAAAAAGTGTTTCTTAATATAAGTCTAATGTTCTCATGTTATTTTATAAAGAATTAATTAAATCTTAACGCAAATTGCTAATCAAATTATGTTTTGAATTATAATGACATTTATAAATATTAATACTAACTGTGGATAATTTTGTTATGCGCATCTGATAAACAACATAACCGAAGGCCAAACCTATAAAAAACACGACTCCATGTGACCATGGGCTCCAAAAAAAGTGATTAAAACTTTTAAATCCATCCATTTTTGTAAGCAAAAAATCACTGCAATATTAGATTTAATATTTAGACTTTAAATTAGTATTACTAATTAATTAACAAATAATTAAGTGAGAGAGAGAGAGAGAGAGCGAGAGAGAGAGAGAGCGAGAGAGAGAGCGAGAGAGAGCGAGAGAGAGAGAGCGAGAGAGAGAAAGAGAGAGAGAGAGAGAGAGAGAAATAGAAAAAATAATACCTTCTCATAGTAAGTATATGAGAGGGAGGGTAACGATTGATGAATATAAGTGTGGCCGGAATGACAAAGAACGCAATCACTATAAAGCCATTGACTATTAGTCCAAATCTGACCCTTTGATGCAATGCTATCATAACGATGAGTGAAATCCAATGAAATTGCATGTCAGCGGCAATGAACCACGTATGAAGACCACACTTTTATTATAAACATATAGTTATCAAATAAATAAATAATTTATGTATTATATTATAGATACCATTTTAAATCCATCACTGTTCATAAAGTTTTGTAAATATATGACATTTTGCCACCAATTATGATAACAATTGTCAGCTAATGGTGTGATGTGTTGGTCCCAAACGGGTCCCGAACCGAACAATGGTATGAGAGAAGTGAAGAGAATAAAGAATACAATTTGTGGCGTAAGTCTTATATAACGAGACAATAGAAATCCAATGCAACTAAAATTTTTAGCTTTTCGGTCCGTAAATTTCAAAGTTATATAAGTGGTTAATAGACCGCTAAAAAAATGCAAATAAAGTGAGAATTATATTTAATAATCATTCATTTATACCTTATTAGGAAGAATGTGTCGACGCTATAAAATGCCTGTAATATTATTTGATTTTCTGGAGCCGTTAATAAATATTTCATTTCGAATGACTTTCCTTTTCATTGAAAATACAAGAAAACATAAATATCTAGTTAAATATGTGGACAAACTATCTCACTAAATATGCCCCAATACGTCCAATCAATAGTGTGCGCAAATATAACCCAAATGATTGTCAGAAATCTAATGCCATGAATACATGACAGTTCTTGATTGGAATCCGCAGACAATACTTTTCGCAAATTATGCTCAAAACTAAACGCTTCTAAAATGTATACAAATCGAGAGTTTTCTATAAAAAAGAAATAATATTTTAGTTTGCAATCCATTATCAACTCCAATACATCGTATGGTTAATTACATCACTTTCATTTTTATAAAAATAGCAACTATAATTATAAACTTATTTAATTATTTAATAATACTTTACATACAGTACTATGAAATCTATAGTATAAATACTAATTATTTTTTATAAAATACAAATATTTGTAAAAATAATTTTTATAATGCTAAATATTATGCAGTGCAACTCCCCACGTAGGAAACTCATCTTGGGGAAACAATTAAAAAATATTTAATTGATTTCCTATACATATAATGTTAAGACTGCCTGTTATATGCCTGAAATTCTTGGTCTAGAATTTAAAAATAATACACCAACATATACAGCAACCGGGAGTTTTGTTATAGTATGGTAAATATTACTGACCTCTTACTTTAGAGACAAACTGAAACACAAATCCCAGACTTGATGTATAATTTGATGTCATTTGAAAATTCAAGACTCAATACTTTTTGAGATATTTGACTTTGTTATGGTGTAGTCCATTAATAAACACTGTATATTTTAATATTAGACTATTCGTTATAAAATATATCGTAGTTGTAAATAAAAATTTTAATGATTATTATAATACATATATTAAACGAGAAAGGTATTAATAAATTAAAACTCTCCATTTAACAAATAACAACATTTAAGGAAACTTTATTAATTTTTATGTAGTATTGTATAAAAATATGATACATTATTTGTAATGTGATGTTTGCAAACAAAATAAATTATTCAATTTACTCACTTTTTGTGTTGTCTATAATTCTTAATAAAACTGTCGACAAAATAGCTTTCGTTAAGAAAACAATAAAAACTAATCTGAAAAATAAATTTATTAAATTATATTTATAAAATAGATTATTAATAAAATTAATTTATTGTTAATTTTAAAATTAAATGATTAATTATCTTAAATTATATCAAAGTTTAAAAATAATGATTAATTGGCTTATAATGAGCTAATATTTGCTATATGTTACAAATTGGAAAAGGAATTTTAATTATTTCTTATTAATTGCTTGATTTATGCATACAATCATTTAGGGGACAATTTGACCCTCGAATGACATTACAGTATATTATTTATGTTCCTGTTTTCTCTTTATTTAACATCTCATTTATTAAAAACAACTAATTATATATTAATTTGAAAGTTAGAATATTTAAAAACATCTCAATAACAGAATTTTTTATTTTCTATTGAAAGCGACAAATTAAATAAATGAAATCATTAAATACTAATAATTGTTAGAATAAAATTTATTTTAATACAAATATTAAAAGAATATAAAGAACTAAATAAAATTTTGCTAAATAATAAACACAATAATATTAAAATATTATATTTTAAGTTTAATAAAAATGAGATATATACATGTATAAAATATAAATTTGCCATAAAAGTTAATTTGACAATAAATCTACAAAACATTAAAATAAGTACTGTATTACGCCGTTTATAGGTGCATGCATTTATATCTGAGTT